GGCTTGAGACTTCTTCATGGAAGTCTTCTGAAAAGTGTGGAAGTGCTCAATTGGTTAGTGTCTGTACTCCCATTTGATGCGTGAGGAAAGGGTATAAGTAGATGAGTAGTCATTCTACAAATAAATTATCAGTGCTGCGGACTGGAAGAATGGATAAAAATTACAGCTTTCAAGTGCTAGTGGGTCTGCAGGTTGCCATATGTGTATTTACAAAGCAAAATTAAGACATTTATGCTTTTAAAATTAAAGACATGCATGTTCAAGTTTGTTTCTGTTCTTTCCTTTGTTTAAAAAACATTGATAAAATTATTTTATACTTCAGTTTGTCAGTTTTTTTAAATTAACAATTACGTTCTCAGAGAAAATTTGCTACTATGGAGTTTAACAATGAAGTAGCAAATGATCCCGTGAAAAAGACAATATTGGGTCTCACTGCTACACTTCCTGTGTGAACAGTATAACATTTGCTCAGATATGGAAATGATAAGCCAAGAGCTTTTACTAAATATGCAAACAGCAGCACTTTCCAGCAGAAAGAACTCCTCCTAGTCAGGAAGCATGAAATGTTTTAGCCATTGATATACTCTCGCTGAGTTTGAAGTTCCTAATAGATTTGCAGTTACTGAAAATGCCTCTCAAACAGGCAGGATTGTACTTTTAGAATTGATTTTGGTATCCTGGTCTTGAACACAATGAACTATGCAAACAGCACATGGCAAGCTTATTTTAATACACTAAGACTAAATAGCTTTTAATTATTAACTCTGCAATAGTTTTGTTTTGAAGCAATTAAGAGTTTATGCCACTTAGTTTTTGACAAGAGTACAACATCACCTTTTGTATTTAAGTATGTAGTTAACCTTTAATACAAAATTCTTAAGATAGTGGCATTAACTCTAGGCGGTTGCTTCACTGATTATACTGAAAGCTCAGTCTTATACGTGTGTGTTTTAATGCCCACAGCAGTTCTATAGAGTTCAACAAGACCTTTCCGGCATTAGTCTATTTAAAATACCAGCTATGCATATACATAAGGATTGCAATGTTGTAGATGCTTAAACTGGGCTAAGGTTCTATAAACTAATTCATCCTTGCCGCCTGTTTGCATGCAGCGGTGCCCTGTGCTCTTCTGACCTCCAGTCAAATGCTTCCCTGGAGCGCACAGGCCTGGTGTCTGGACCTAGATCTGCCTCTTCCCACCTCTTACAGGTGCTGCTGCTAGCGATGTGGTCTGCCTTGTTTGGTTGCTGCATGCCACAAGCAAAGGCAGCTCTTGACCTTCAGCCCTCCACAGGAGGGACTGTACTTCCAAATCATGCAGCTGCACCTGTAAGAGGCTCCATTAATAAAACTAAAAAACTTTCACTGGTTAATGCCATACGGTGTGCAAAGTTAGTATGAGACCTGACCGTGCTCTCTTTTCTGAATTTCTGGTATTTCACAGTGGGGCACAAAGAATAAATCTGCTACTCTGTGAATGCTCTTAGCTGCACAGCATCAAAAATGATCTGCTGGGGAGCCTGAAAACATCTTACTATCTCATTTCTTGTCCCTAAAACAGGGCAGTCTAGAGAGCTGAAGAATTAGTCCCAGAACACTTAGAGGCAAGGCTTACATCTCAATTTCAGGTTGTGTGTCAGCAGCTAATGATTGCCATTAGTTAATTACCTTAACCTTTGGTATGATTGTGTAGCAGATCATAGGTGCCTTTGTTGGGAGACAGTGCAAGAATATCGGTAGTTGTAAGCAGCTGGTGTACGTTTCCTCGTGCATTTGTGGTGGGGTTAGGAAGCCTGAAGATCCTGTACTCAAAACCGTAACCTTGCTTAACTGGGTTCTGCTGTGTGTGTGCGCGTTTGTGTGTGTGTCAGGGCTGTGCTAGTGCTTATGGCTCTCTCAGCGAGTTCAGCTAGTGGTATTAACACTTAATTTTCCTGCTGCGGTTTGTGAAAGGTTGGAGACCTGCAGCACTCTTAGCATGTGGGAACGGGTCTGGATATATGACCTTTAGGAGCAGTTAGCTCAGGAAGCAATGAGAAAGATGTGGAAGCGTGTGTGTGTTCCTCAGCATATATGTTTGAGAAGCAAGCACGGCTGCTGTCAGGTCATCTCATATAGCTCTAGGTTTGGTGTGTGTTGAGCCCCATACAGGAATTTTGCTGGTACTGTTCCTGTGAGAATTTGCCTCACCTCTGGCATATAAACTCTGTGATAGCCCAGCCCTAAAGCTGATTCAGGCCTGGCTGCAAAACCTGATGTTACTAGCCTTTGATACCAACCAAAATAGTATTCCATTGTCTGTTTCCCTTTAAGGGTCACGGACTGTTTGAATTTTAGGTGCCTTAGTTACACCTGTAGCTAACAGTTCTGTTACGTCAAGAGGCTATATCCTGGCTTCACAGAAATCCAGAGAAGAGATCTAGTTTAAACAGAAAGTTGAAAAAGATTTTGATTAAACTGCCACCCCTTCCCCACGCCAGAAACAACCTGTGAGATAATGAGGTTTTCACTGTTAACACCAGGGGGATTCCTGATGTTTCAGTGAGGCTCTAGCTTTTTATTTGGTTCCAGTATGGTGTGTTGTGGCCTATGGAAATAGCTACGGAGCGAGGCAGAGGCTTTTTTCTGGGATAGAGGCAGGAACGTAGAGAACCTGTTGCTTTCTTAGTTCTTAGGGCAAAGGTTTTTCTGCTGCCTGATCTATTTTTCCAGGAGGGAGGGGAGAGGAGGGTAAGCGATTGGAGAGAACAACCCTCCTCCTCTTCTTGCATGGTTTACTTCATTAAATCATCAGCCTTCAAGCTGATCGTGTACTTGCTGCTGAGGTCTCGTTCTGTGCTAGCGTGCTGAAGCAGCAGAGCCCAGGAACGAAGACCGTTCCTGAATAATTTGGGAATCCTACTCTTGTTCTTGTGTTGTATTAGTAGGGTTATGTGGCGCATACAGTGAAAATTGCCTGTACAGCCTGGTCTGCCAACACTGTTACTGGCACCAGTAGAGAGCACTGATGGTGATTACGGCTTTGACCCTTGCTAATTTGGACACTCTTCTGTTCTGGATGAGCTCTGTGCCTCAAGGTGTATGTGGGAGCACCCGGCGCTTGGCTTTGTGTGCAAGCAGAAAGTTGGAGTGAGCTGCCAGTAATGCTGAGGAGATCGTCCTTGGTACGGTAGGAGCAAAGTTTGAGCTTGCTGTGTCGCCTCTCTGGTTTCTGTTGCGTTGGTGTGGGCTCCCCCGGTAGGTCTGGTGCGTTAACCGAGAGATGTGCTGTTGAACTAGTTTCTCATAGGGTGGCTTCAGGACCGTTGTCTGGTGCGTTTCTGCTTCAGTGCTCTCTGAGTACTTACCTATTAAATCTTGTGTGTTTTCTGGGAATGTGCACAGCCTTTCTGCATGGCGACATACTTTATTTTTGCACTTATTTCCAAGGGGATTTTGCAACCAGCTGGATTGCTGTCTGTGTGTTTGATCTTTTGCTTGTTCCCACCCTGCTCAAATAGATTAAGTCCATCTCCCTCCTTTGTTCTCTGTGAGGGGATTCTCTACTGTGTCTACTGTGAAACTGTGCTGGCAGCAGGCAGATGGCATTTGAGCGATCTCCTCTGCTCTGTGAAGAGCTGGCAGAGAGGATGGGGAACTGATGGAGTTGTATGTGGCAGCATAGTGTCCTGTGGTATACTGGCTGTTAAGGGGAAGTGTGCTTCAAAAGAATAGGAAATGCAGTAACCGTTGTCTGAGTAATGCTGGAAATCGTTTAAGAGCCTGAGAAGCAGTGGTATTGTGTCTTGTCCGCTCGTAGGAAGTGCTTGATAACATAAGGTGTTTACAAAGTCCTCTTCTCAAGGTTGCACGTACTTACACAGGAAGAATGCTTTTCACCATTTTATAGTTGGGGGAAAACAAGATGAATGGCAACTGTTTGACATTCATGTATGTGAAGCTTTTGGCAGAGGTGAACAGCTGTGCCCTTGGTGCATACAGGTCATACATACATACTGTGCATTCAAACTGTCACTTGTGCAGCAGACAGTGAGTGCAACTACGTAGGTGATAGTGCAAGACTCGCTCCTTTCCTGCTGTATGTATAAAGCATGGCTTATACCTTGATAATCAGGCTCCATGGTTACACAATAAATCAGAACCAGCTTGTAAACCCAGAAGCCCTGACCTGCAGCTCAGACTATTGCTGTTGCTTTCTCTGTTTCTTCTTTCCTTATCTAAGAGTGTCGCTTTTTCCTTTTCCTTCCTTTCCCAAACTCGCGTGCCTCTCAGACTAGTCTTTCTGTTGTTGTAGGTCCTCTTGAGCTAAGGGAATGAAAATTGAATTGACCTTCCTTCTCCTAAGCTTCATCCTAACTTCTGGAGTCCCGGTTGATGTTTTTGGGCGTACGAGGCCACAAGTGTGTCCACTGTCCCAGTCAATGATTTAAACAGCGGATTGGAGCATGCATCACTGTAAGGTTTAAATTATTTCAACACTAGCAGTGACGCCATCCCTTTCCTACTTGCTGCAAATGGGTTAAATGCACAATGGAGCTGCCTATCTAAAATGGTTCTGGATCTTGTACTCCCTCCCACCCCGAGGGTCTCTTCCAGTAGCACTGACAGGGCTCTCTTCCCCTCTCCTTGATTCTCTGCTTTTGTGCTGGGCAGCCTGTTCCTGGTTTCATTTGCTCCACGTCAGTCCCTGACCTGCCCATCCTGACCTCCTTCCACTAGCATCAGTCCCTGACTTGCCCTATGTCAGAAGATCTTCCTTATCTTTTTTGCATATTATGATTCCAGAGCGGGATGATCGGCCACCAAGGCTGCAATGTCGTCCCTGACGACCTCCAGTGAGGGAGAAAACTCCGCTCCCAGATTTGTTGTCGGTTCCAGGGATGATGAGACAGACTTCCTTGGATCAAACATGAAGACAGACGAAATTGATTTCTTTGAAGATGATGAAGAGGAAGAATCGGTAAGGAGGTCCTGGCGTTCTGGGTTGGAGAATCTGTGCAGAATTCCTGGGTCTCAGCTAGATTTTGAGCGGTTACTGTGGAGGCGACAGGCAGTCAGGACTTCAGGATCACGGAACCAGGCTACGTGGCACGGCCACGTGGAAGGGCTGCGTCATCCTTGATGGGGTGCCACTGCAATGTCATACCGTCAGGCTCAGTGTCTCATGCTGCATAAATTTTAGCCTTTTTGCTTTGCAGGTCTTTCAGGCACAATAGCAAACAAAGTTGTCCTGGCAATTTAAGCCTAACTCTCTTTGTAATCTTCCTGTTTCACTGGAGAAAATTTTGAGGAAAACTGTGGGAATTGTGAATAGGGCAAAGAAGCGTCTGCAGATTTGAAGCAGTTCCTCTTTTCTGTAGTCTGCAGGAGCAGAATGCAGAAAGGAGAATCACCTCCAGCTTTCGACTGCTTTTGGCCCTTATTCTACCCACTCTTCTGGTCTCTCACAATGGCCTTTGTTAGGGGCGTTCGTTCAGAGGTCCTTCTCTTCGCTGAAATTCTCTTGCCTCTTAATGGGCTAATGGACTGTGACTCGTGCTAAACTGCACTGGCATAACCTTAGGACAGTATGTAGTGGCCCTGCAGAGCTTTAATCTACTGTTTTCCTGTCTTTTCTGTTTGTACATGATGCAGCCTCTGAGGGCCAATGCAGGTGTATCCTGTAGCACAGATAGAAAATGTAATGGGCAGTGTATGCTGACCTCCTCTTTAAGGATGGTAAAGTAGCTTTCTAAAGACAATGCAAACAAAACAGTGAATAGCTGGGACTTGTATCTGCAAGACCTGCAGGCAACGCACTGCAATGAGGTAAAGGAACTCCTAACTTTTTGCTCTGGTGATTCCGTTGGGACTTAAAATTTTAAGTTTGTGTGGTGGCGCTTGGTTGGTTTGTTTGTTTTTGAATGGGCTGAGCAACTTATTCTGCAGTGGGGTGGAATGTGCCACACTTTGTTCCTGAGAAAATCATCCGTCCATTCCGGAGAAGCTCTGTTTGGTGCTTTTGGCATATTAGAAGTAACGTTTCCTCCTCTGGGTAAGAGGAGCTGCTTTTCCCTCCTGTGGAAGCTCTACAATGTTGTGTGGTGCTCTGCTGCCTGTTCCAATACAGAATTCCAGACAGAAATTGCATTAAGAATGAAATATATCAGTAGCCCGTGGGAATTTACCTTTAGGAAGAATCCAGTGATATAGTATTGGTGCTCCAGTGATTGGAGTGGCCAGTGTTTGTTGCACTTTTTTAGGTGGTTGAGACTGCTTTTTTTGTTGTTTTTTTAAATCTTTTTCCTTTCCCCTCACCTCAGTTCTTGCCCCATAAGTTGTGATTGGTAAGAGAAAGAGGCAACTATTTTTCAGTCAGAGATGTCAGATTGGAAAACTGACTCTAATAGTCCTGGATAATCAGTCTAGCTGAGAACTGAGTGAAGTGGAGCTAAGGAACAGTGAGAGCTGGGCAAACCTAGGGAGGAGGATTAGAGCCAAGAGTGAAATCTGCTGTTTTTCTCTGTTACGTACTGTGTTCTGCATATGGGACTTGGGGTGCTGCAGGGACTTTGCTTCTGGTTATGTGAGTTGCTGGGACCCTGTGCCAGTGCAGCTGTTATTCACATTGGCTCTCTACTCTTAAGTCTCCATTGCAGTTGCATTATTGACCTAGGAGCCCATATGGCTCCCTTGAAAAATGCACAGTGTTATGTACCTTGATGCTCAACAAAGAGCTATTTAGCAGGTGGGGCAAAGGAATTGGAAGTCCTTAGACTTCCTAGATAATTTTTGCTGTGGACTCTGAGCCCTTGGCTTTGGGAGTCAGTGCAGTAATTGCAGAAGTCTCAGTTTACAGTCTGAAGCCACCATTCTGTGTCTTGTGTAACCTGCAGTCCTGCATGTTTCACTTTAAACGACCTCACTGAGTTTAATCTTGCCTGGGCCAGAATTAATCTATTAAAAATACCCAGTCTGTGTTTAAAAAGTCAGTGATGGGAAATCCACCACAGACCTTAGCCTGTTTCGCAGCTACTGTTATCAGTGCTTTTTAAATGCATGCCTCTTCTCTATACTTATTTAACTGACCTTTCTCCCACTGGATCTTGCTGTACCTCTGTCAGGTAGATGGGAGAGTCCTTGGTACTATTTCTCTTCTACTCGTAGCTAGTGCTGTCATTTCCCCTTTTTTTTTCTCTCAGATAAGCCAAACAGGCCGAGCTCCTGGAGTCTTTTGCTATACAGCATTTGTGGCTCTTTTCTGAGTCCTCCTAAGTCTACCAACAGTCGTCTTTGAGTTATGGGCCAAAGAACATAGTACAGGATTCCAGCCCCTGCTGCTTGTTCAGGTGCCAGATATTTCTTTTTGATCTTAGTGTTGGTGCCCAGTAAGAAGAAGAGATACGTACTGTCTGGCAAAGAAGCAACTGTTTGGGGATGTTTCTTTATGACACCTACCAGTGAAATCTAGTGGGAGCTGGAAGTGTATAGGGGTTTGAGTCTAGCAAGAGCTGGGAGTGGATGTGGTGAGAAGAAAATCCCTCCTTTGTTCCTAGTTGCTGCATTTCTATGCTGTTATAGTTTGAATTCAGTAAAGTAGCTGACCCTGTACTAAACTGCCCTGTGTCTTCCCTTAGCCACCTGAACGACAGATTGTGGTTGGAATATGTGCCATGACCAAAAAGTCCAAGTCAAAGCCCATGACACAGATTCTGGAGCGTCTGTGCAAGTTTGAGTATATCACAGTGGTGATTATGGGGGAAGATGTTATTCTGAATGAACCAGTAGAGAACTGGCCCTCTTGTGACTGCCTTATCTCCTTCCACTCCAAAGGTAAAACTCTGTGTGGCAGGCCCTATCCTACCTGAGATCTGGACAAGGGAGTTTCCGTTCATCTTTTTCTTTTTCTCCCCTGCCACCCTGCATTTCAGGATTCCCACTGGATAAAGCAGTTGCTTATGCCAAGCTGTGCAGGCCGTTTTTGATTAATGACCTTGATATGCAGTATTACATCCAGGACAGGTAGGTGTCTGTGATCCTCTAAAGCACCTTCCCTCTTCATCTGATTCCCCTCCTCAGCATGCTATGCAAGCTTCATCTTTCTGGCCACAGGCAAACAAGGGAGGGTGTGGAGGGGGGACTTTGACAGTGGCTTTTAGGGGTTGTTTCCCCCTAATGTGAGGGAAATAGCTTTAGGGGTGAGACATGGCATGTTTTATCTTCTGGTGCAAATGCTCTGTAAGGAAAGGTCGAGTGAATTAAAAGAGGACATGATCTCACAGGATGAGACTGGCATGGCTAAGACAAAAAGATTGGTCTCCGAGGAAGAGAGCCAAGTAGTGGGATGAGATTCTGGGGCGGAAATTGGAAGCAGCAAAGCCAGGCAGAGAAGGGAATATTGGAGGGTATATACCCCTCCCCTGAAGAGGGTATGTTGGTCAGACACTTCAAAAGGCTTGTCAGTCAGTAAGTTGAAGGGTTAAGTCAATCAGAAGTCAAATGCTAACTTACTCTGGCTATATGAACTGAGGTACGTGACTGTGCTTTGGCTGCAGATGAGAAGTGTTAATACCAGACACCAAACCTCACACCATGTCTTTGGGTTGTGGGCAGCTTTCCTGTGGGTGCTGATAGGCACCATATATTGTAACTCTAGTGAGAGAAATGCAGCTTCCCCGTTGATGTTAGGTGCAAAGTGAGGCATTGGTGATGGGCAGCTGTGTGACAGGGCACCCTTTGAGGGGGCACATTTGGCTAGCTGGCGTTTGCTGAGTATGTTGCTGTGGATTTGGCAGGTGCTAGCAAATGGGCATCTCCATTTATGCCAGGCAGGGGTCTACTCTGGGATATTTCCATGAGGAGTAGGGCTGAGGCATGTCCTGTAGCTTGTGGGTCTCATCTGGAGAACACACACGGAGAAGTATTTGCACTCTGTCTTGAGACTTTCTTGTGCTCATTAGACTTTGCTTTTCCATCAGTGAAAATGAAGCCTTTCCCTTGGTATGTACTGAGGATCTTCCAGACTCTTCTACTGATCCTCATTGTTTTTGTCCTCTACAGACGGGAAGTGTATAGGATTCTTCAAGAAGAGGGAATAGACTTGCCCCGCTATGCTGTGCTCAATCGAGACCCTGATAGACCAGAAGGTAAATGTCCAGGCTCTGCTGAGAGCATTTGCACATACTGTACCATTTAAGGTATTCTGCAGAGACCAGCACTGATAATCAGCTTGAACAGGCCTGATTCACAAGTCTGTCAACTTGACTTGGACATGGGTCAAAGGCCAGAACACTGAAGTTGGCTGACTGGCCAGAACTGAAGGGGTTCAGCTCTGCAGTAGGGCTGTTTGCCCCCTTACCTAATGTGCTGCTGCTGTGCTTTGTCTTCAGAATGCAACTTGGTGGAAGGAGAGGACCACGTGGAGGTAAATGGAGCTGTTTTCCCAAAGCCATTTGTAGAGAAGCCAGTCAGTGCTGAAGACCATAATGTGTATATTTACTACCCAACCTCAGCAGGTGGGGGCAGCCAGCGGCTCTTTCGGAAGGTGAGGGGGACTCCAGCTTTGCTGTCGGGACCAACAGATCCGTGGGTCGGAGAGACTTATGCGACTTCAAGAGGGAGTTTTGCGGCAGGGGAAGGGGGAAGGAAGGTCTTGTGTTGGGGCAGTCTTATACCTTTGTAAAACTTTTAGTTAAATCTCATCTAGTTGGGAATTGCAGAAAGACACGTCCTAGTGCTAGTGCTGACTATGCTTTCCCCATCCTCTGTTTAACCTGTGTCCTGTTTAGCAGTCCTTAAGGACTGTGTCCCTTATTGAACTGCATACTGTCTTTTCCAGATCACTTCTTCAGTTTATCAAGATGACTTTTTTACTTCTGTTCTTGTCCTCTAACATGCTTGCTGCCCTTCTCAGCTTACTGTAGCTTGCAAATGTAATAAAGGCAGTATTTATTCCTAGATTCCACAGGGAATCTGTCTGCTCTTACTCACTTCCTCCGCTTTACCAATGAACCATTAATAACTATGGAATATGATTTTCCAACCAGTTATGCATCTGCGATTAGTGATCTTGAAATGATTGTTTCCTTAGCTTTTACATACAATCTCAAGTGACGTGCTTATTTCTAAAGTCTCACTAAAAATGAAAGCAACATTAGCTCCTGTCTATAAGATTTGTTGCACTGTCCTAAAAAGAAGTTAAACTGATCTGACTATGGTTTGTCATAACTTGTTATATTTCGCTTATTAGCTAGGCTCCTTACCTCCTCTGTCTTTATCTACTGTTTTTGTTCCATGTTCTTCTAGTGATTGGAGTCAACCTAGTGGTCTATAATAACTTTTTCCTCTTTAAAGCCTCGAAAAGGACATACTTAGTGTCTGCGTTTTGGAGTCTCTTCTGTCCTTCATGAATTATTGAGCTATAATAGCTGGAGGTTCTGAGAGATGTTCAGCTAGTTCTTTAAGTATGGGATGAAATTTATGCTGTTTGTTCTTCCATCTAAGGAAAGAAAACCTATAGTCTCTGCTGAGGTTTTTATTCTATGCTTTCAGATTGGCAGCCGGAGTAGTGTGTACTCCCCAGAGAGCAGTGTAAGGAAGACAGGCTCATACATTTATGAAGAGTTCATGCCTACAGATGGCACTGATGTAAAGGTAAGGAAAACCTGGGTAGCTGAAGTTTGGGCAGTCCTACTTAGCAGATTCTGGAGTGTTTGTTTAACCTGTGAGGTGCTGATTGTGCAGCTTGGATCACAAAGTGAGGAGCTGGTATTCTGCACGCCCTAGCAGGAAGAATGTATGAGAGCATCTAATCTTTTTTTCCTGTGTATGCCTGCAATAGAAGTACCTTCTGAAGTCTGCAGTTAGTCTAGGGGTTATGTCAGGTGTAACTATTTCTCTTCTCAGGTGTACACTGTTGGGCCAGACTATGCCCATGCAGAGGCTCGCAAATCCCCTGCTTTGGATGGGAAGGTTGAACGGGACAGTGAAGGGAAAGAAATCCGTTATCCAGTCATGCTGACTGCCATGGAGAAGCTAGTAGCCAGGAAAGTCTGTGTAGCCTTTAAGGTTTGTGTATTTTCTCTCCTATGTAAGCAGAATACTCCCTGGAACGTCTGCTTCAGGACTCAGGCACCTATATTAGCTTGAGTCTATTGCCCTTACGTATCTCTGATGTGACTGTGTTCCTTGCCTGGTGCCAACTCTCTCTACCAGCTGATGCAGTTGTTCCTGCTGGCCCTGGCAGTTTGCTGGTCAGATGAGTGGGAAGGCTGGAGGGCCTACAGCAGATGCCTTCTGTGCTGGCAGGTGGCTGGTGCCCAGCTTACATCTGAGCATTTGACAGCAGATTCTAAGCCTGCTGCTGTCCATCTGATCTGCACTGATCCCTTCTTAGCTGTTTCATGTTCGTGTGGATAGCCTGGTTATCTTGTCCTTGGCCTTTTTCATTCTCCTTTTGACCTGGCTTTGGTGTGCATTTGTGTTTTACTTATAGGTAGGCAGGATGAATGTCCATGTGAGTCTAGGTACAGTTACATGACCTGTTCTGCTTCATCAGCAATGTCAGCAGAAGCAGCACTTGGCTACTTGTTCCTGGCCCCACTGCAATCTGCATCGCGTGTAGTTGTTCTGGTACAGCTGTGGGTTTATTCTGCGTTATAATCTTTTTCCATGCATGTCTGTGCATGCACTGTTTATTTTCTCTACTTCTGCAATCTGGTTCATAACAGCTGAATTTAGAGACAAGAGCAAAAGAGGTAGGAGCTGCTTTCTTATACCCTTAGAGCTCTTTGAAGTAGCACTAATCTGCTTAATACAGGAGTTCTTGGTTTGAGTCCTTGATAGAGCTGTGAAGATGTAAAGGTTCCTCTAAAGGGCCTGTTACTGCTAACTACTTCAAGACTGATGAGACAGGCATGGAATGGAGAACTACTGCAGCAGCTGTGCCTTTGGAGACACCAGTGGAGCCAAATTGGACAATATATGCTGACGGGACCTGTGTGACAGAGTGCCCTCTCAGCCCTGCTTGGCTTGTGCAGCTGCTGTCCTGCTTGCTGTGCTTCCTCACAGTGTGCCTATGAATCCTCTGTTTCTTCATGCAGCAAACCGTATGTGGGTTTGACCTCCTGCGAGCAAACGGCCACTCGTTCGTTTGTGATGTGAATGGCTTCAGTTTTGTGAAGAACTCTATGAAGTATTATGACGACTGTGCCAAAATCCTTGGGTATGTAAAATTCAAGTTTTGGCAGTGGCTAAGGGAACCTTTAGCAAAGCATAGTGAATTTGGAGTCCTGATCGGTGAACGTGGGAGAAGTCTGCAGGTAGTTCAGATGGGGACATTTGTTCAGC